CGACCGCTCTTTACATTTTTTGACAGTCATTTACTCCTTCAAAGATTAGATCCGTGGTAAGCGCAATGTTTTTTACATGTCACACATTGTTCTACTCTTCCAAAAAATGTTTTACAGATTTTTGGAGGCGCCCCTCAAACTGAATTTAGTTTGATTTTTGCTACCACGACATGGGTGTAAATTTTTAAAGCAATTGTTTTTCGAAAAATTGTCCGCATGATCAAGTCGTATTTTTTTTCCTGCTCTTAGCCGACCTTTCGGTTCACAGACGTCATCAGCATGCCAAATTTTTCCAAGAGATTGAAACCACCGCCTAGTTTGCAGTGTTTCCGGTACCAAATCCACACATATTTATGTGAGTTGCAGCTTCAAATAGACAGCCTCATACTACAGAATGCTGTCTTTACCTGGGCCAACCCCCTTGCTACAAAATTCTGTTTGGTGTTTAATGGGACATCAATGGCCAATGTCGGTTCACTACAAAAAAAATCGGAAGTCAACCAAAAACGTTGCCTTTTTTGAATTCTTATTTTGTTTGGTGCATTTTCAAAAACACATATGTTGCTTGATGAATTTCGACCACAGTAGCCATTATTTGCCTGTTTTGATCGTTTCGGCCTCAGCTGTCGCGAACCCAGAGAACAAATAATCTCGTGAGACCCGAAAAAAACACAAACACAATTATATAAAATTATAAGTCCCGCTGAAAACAAGTAAGCAAATATAGTTTAAACATATGTTTTTTCCAAAAGCTAACGCTTAGCAGTCCAAATCAGCCGAGCACACGCAATACAACCTTAAGATTTCCATCGATTTCCAAAAACTAACCTTTCAAAAGTGTTTTTATTACGATACTCAGAGCGACACACACGAGGATTACTGTTGTCATGCGCACCGCATTTTGTAGTAACACACACGTGCACAAGCATGTTGTAGAACCTATTGCGCCCCCCTCCAGATGAACCCCAAATGTTCGAAAAACATATCTTTAATGTAGGGACTTGAAGAAAGAAAAATTGGACAGATTTGGTTTCCAAACCCATCAATTGAAATTCAAGTTACGCGCTGAAATCTAGGACATCACGCATCGTCTTTGGGCTTTGTAGGTGAAAGGAACTCTGAGCATGGATTCTTTGGATTTGGGTGAAATCTGACTATTTGACAAAAAGGGCAGAAAGCTAGTAGAATGGGATCCATTTAGATTATACGTAGTGGTCACATGTAATGGCCAAAAATGGTGTGACAAAAGCACGGTGCAGTAATTTTGAACTGCAATAATCCTCAGTGCTACGGGCAACACAAACAATCCAAGCGCACCATTTGAATTTCAATTGCTGGGTTTTGAAACCCAATTTGTCCCATTTTTCTTTCTGCAAATCCCTACGTTAAAAAAGGAATGTTTTTCGAACTTTTTGGGGTTCATCTGGAGGGAGGCGCAATAGGTTTTACAAAATGTGTTACTACAAAATGCTGCGCGGATGACACAAGTCATCCAGAAACTAGGACATCACGCGTCGGCTTTGGTTTTTTGTGGGCGAAAGGAACTCTGAGCATGGATTCTTCGAACCTGGGTGAATGACTATTGGTTGGCTATGGGACAAAGAAGGTAGGAAACTAGTAGGACCAGCAGGAGCTCTGGCCAGCGCATGCATCGTGCAAAAATGGTCTGAGGACCCGAGCCATGAGTTAATGTGACCGACCCAGCATGGCCGGCAAAAGAAGTCTATAGGGTTTTCTGTATGACCCAAAACATGCTCACATATATCACTACAAAATGCCGTTCCGATTTCCAAGCACTAAGTTAGAAAAGTGAAAAACCGCTACATGATCGCCGACTACAAAATCCTAGGCACAACTTATTTTTGGAAGGCACTTTATATCCCCAAAATGGGATGGTACCCAGCACGTGTTCACCCTTTTAGTAGTGGAAATGGTAAGCGGGATGTGCATATTATATATTGTGTAGTTCCCACGTTATTATATTTTACTTATTTTTCTGCATCTGGAAAAAAATTATCAGTGCTGCAATCGCGTATTCAAAGGGCAATGGTTCATTGGAAAAATACCGCGCCTGACAACGAACTGGGTTAACATGATGGTTGAGACCTCCTACAATTTCGGGCCTCAATGGTTTGGAATTGCACACGGACACAACTGTAGTAATTATGACCGAGGCGCCACCCCTTGCAGATTTATATAGTGAGGATGGTTCGTCCATCCAGCGTCAACCGTCCACGAATGTTTCGGTTGTATGCGTTACCAAGTACGATTCCAAAGCACCACGTACAAACACCAAATACCAGATTGAAAGTGCAATCAAAAAGTTCATTGCGTCCAAACAAAGTGCCGTGACCCTAGAATCTTCCTATCAAACACCAGGTACTTCGTGTACTTCCACACGGCTGTGACCCCAGTGGCATGTTTCGACGCTGGAAACTGGGTTGTGCACAAACACACACACACACACACACACGTTACACACACGTTACACACACGTTACACACACGTTACACACACGTTACACGCACGCTACAAACACGCTACGTTACACACACGCTACGTTACACACACGCTACAAACACGCTACGTTACACACACGCTACGTTACACACACGCTACGTTACACACACGCTACGTTACACACACGCTACAAACACGCTACGTTACACACACGCTACGTTACACACACGCTACGTTACACACACGCTACGTTACACACACGCTACAAACACGCTACGTTACACACACGCTACGTTACACACACGCTACGTTACACACACGCTACGTTACACACACGCTACGTTACACACACGCTACAAACACGCTACGTTACACACACGCTACGTTACACACACGCTACGTTACACACACGCTACAAACACGCTACGTTACACACACGCTACGTTACACACACGCTACGTTACACACACGCTACGTTACACACACGCTACAAACACGCTACGTTACACACACGCTACGTTACACACACGCTACGTTACACACCCGTTACGTTACACACACGTTACGTTACACACACACACACCCGCACACGCACACACACACACGTTACGTTACACACACGTTACGTTACGCACACGTTAAGTTACGCACACTTTACGTTACACACACGTTACGTTACACACACACACAATACACACACTCGTTACACACGCTCTGCACACGCGTTACATCACAGATGCATTTTCTGACGCGAGTGCCGCAGGTGCCGTTGTGTCCAATTCAGTTCTGTGATTCTGCTCAACAGGCAGCATTGGTTTGACATCACCTACGGCAATCGTTGGACTCAGTCTTGTTTTTGAAGTTACCACTACTGAAAACTGCTAACGAAGGCACTGTGCCCGCCAATGTCGTATGGTTTCGTTGCGAGTCGCGAGGTTCACCAAAAGTTCCACGCCGTCAAAGCCTACGTCTACATTCGTCTACGTATCGACCTCAGGGTTCTCTATCTAACGTTGGACATGTTGAATGAGACACGTGTAGCCGTGTAGCCGTGTAGCCCTAGACAATTAGACAACGAGATTCCCGGGATCGTTGTGTTTTCCACTTGGCGGACCCCGACGCTTCGGCGACGTCCTCACTTGAGCTCCGCAAATAGCTCACCATCCATTGTGTCGCCCAGCCATCCTTTTGGCAAAATTTCATACCCAAGGTGTTCTTGCAGTTTTATGTTGAGTATGTTGAGTATGTTGAGTATGTTGAGTATGTCGTTTGATATTTTTCTTTCCGTGTTTAAGAAATAAATCTTAAATGACGTGTTGGGAATGTCTGGGGTGAGTCACGCAAAGAGGAACTCATCGGACACGTGGTTTCCTCGCAGCGGTTTGCGATATGTTTTTCGGTCACGCATGCATTTCGTCATCGAATCGCCTTCTGACACGTTTTCGAAGCACGGAGCACGCAATCGATAGGCATGCTACAACGAACCTTACGGTTGGTGCCTTGGCTACCACCCTGGCCGGTATAAGCAGTTCTAGAGCACAATGCTGTCACAACAGTATCTCTGTTTGGAACGATTTTGCTTGCTGTTTCGTTAGTGTGCCAGCACTTGCTGACCCAAGTTTGCCTTTCGGATCTTGTGTCATGTTATCTTCCAAAACTACCTCTGTAGTTGTCTATCCCCGCAGAGGCAGAACAGCAGAATGCAGCTGCAACTAACCTGCACAGTGAACACGCTGTCGCACTGGTTTTTGGGTAACGAATTTAATGATATTTAATGTGGATGGACATGGATGCATGCAACTGCAACGCAACGCCGTGACCATCTGGGCAGTCACTGATCAATTGATTTGGATGTCTCGCGATTTCTCTTTGATGCAATTCTTTAAAAAAATTGTCCGGGAGACACTGTTCTGGGCAAGGATTGTCTCCCTTCTTCTTCTGGCCACGCAAAATTGTTGGCAATACCATGTTAATCATGCTATGTGTTGATTTCCTTGTCATTTTGCTGTCCTTTTTGTCCAATTTCCTTCAGTCTCCTCAATGCCTTTCGAGGCCATTGCACGTCTGATCTCGATCTTGCCAAGGGAAAAACGACATCGCCCACTATATCTGCGATACTAAGCTGGCCAGTGCAATTGTGATCGAAGTCACAAGCTGACTTAAAACATTGGTGGCTACATGAAATAGGTATCGCGGGCCAAGTACAAATGTGTTCTTGCTGGCAATTCAAATTGTCCTTTGCAATGTTCTATTTATCCTTGTCGCAGAACGGCTTCTGAAAAATCAAACGATTGACTTGGCGGGACACCTACTGCTCACTCCTTCACTCAAATGTTTGACAAACAAGATTGAACATTTACAATAATGACAACCAAAATCCATCTACTCTGTTCCTTCCTATCACGTTGGGCCTACCATGTTGCTTTGTTGCGGGTCATTTTGACACCTGAACTGTTTGCTGTGAGCTGTGGTTCGAAGTCGTTGTAGCAAGAACTCTTATCAGTTTCTAGGAACTGGACTTCCTGCCACATCCAAGGTACTGTGGAATGTCTTGGAATAGGTAGCAGCTATGACCTCACGGCAGTTCTGTGCGGTATTATTTACCGGGGGATTTTTGTTCCCAAGGAATCAAAGATCAGTGGCTCTCGCTACCAGGGGATTCAGGGTGTTGCAACTTTTCTCGGTATGGGACCATCGCGCTCTGCCATTTTCATGAACATTTCGTACATGTAGCTGATGTTGGCCTTGAGCGCATCAAAACGAGGAGAATCTGCTGGCATGGTGACTCTGACTACTGTACTGTGTTGCCTCTCACGTGCAACCGAGGGACCCGTCCATGCCAAGTTTCTGTTAGACTTCGGCATTTATCCGTCAATGCCCGCAGTCTCAAGTGAGATGGCATGATTTCATGAAGAGAAAATCCAGCGTCTGCACCTTGGGAGCACAAAAATACAATACATAGCAGTATGATTTTCAATGAAACACCACGGAGTGAACATGTGCGAACGAAGACACGGGCTGCTGTGCTTTGCAACAGATTTTCCACTTCTTCTTGGAACGGTTCCTTGCCAAGAAACTCAAGCGACAGTGATTGAGCTGCAAATGTCAGACCTTTTCGGAAGACAAGGAAATTGTTTGTCAATTTTTTTCGTGCTGAGTTAGTGGCCCACTGTTCCCTCAGAAACTGGGAGCGTTGTCTTTCTGATCGGCATTTCAAAGGTAGTTCCACCAAACCTAGGATCGAAGAGAAACTGGCATACAGTGGTTGGTATTCTTAAACGTGATCACGAAACATGCTGCCAGGGCACTTGGTTGTGACAGCCACTGAAGAAATTTGCAATAATCAATGGGTGCATTTGTTGAACAACCACCTCGGACAAGCTGCGCAATTTGTTGAAAAATTGAACTTGTGGTTCATTGTTTTTCACACAAAAATGTTGCAAATTTAGGGATCTGACAATCAATCAGCAATAGTTCAAGCCCCTCCGTGGTCCAAGAAGCATCCAAATGGTTCAAAACCTCACTGTGAAAACATGTTGCCCAAGAACAAATGTCATTTAACGGTTTTAACAAATCATTGGGTTGTCCCCCCACATTTTAGCAACAATTATTGAATATATATTAACACAAGGTTTTACGCAAACAATACTCATCAAATTGATACGGTGAGCGCAGAAAACCCAATGATTTCACTTCACGCCAAGATCGTGAACTTCCAAAAAATAATGAGTTTCCCACTTTGAGCAACACTTGCCTTGAGATGTAACCAGGTTGCGTTGTCACATCCTTGGACACCAGAGACCGTCCGTTGTGCAATTTTTTGACCTCTGTGGAACCATTTTAAAAGACAACCTCACTCTGCAAAAAACAATGAAATACAATTCAGCATGCGGCGTCAAATGCTGCGGAAAACTGTTCCACCACGACGTTCATGTCAGCATTTTGCCATGTTTTTCCACCGTACATGAATAAACCGCAACTTGTTTTTTGAACACATCATTTTCCAACAATGAATTCTGGACAATTTGTTGCAAACATCACCAAGGTGTGCTGGATGTTTACTGAAAAGATTCTACATTGTCGTCTCTGCCTCGATTAAGTTTGACAACTGGGTTCCGTTCCAAATTGCTGCGGTGTTTCGGCCAGGTCAAATTTAAACCATACAAAAATAAAATAGATTTTTATTTCCAGCCGACGCTCACTGTAACTCGCAGAAGAGTGCACTCCGGCGAAGGGGATGGTGGTGGGTCAAATTGCCAAACAAGTAAAAGCAGGGCCCTCCCGCCCACCCTTGAACCAATGCCAAATGGAGAGCTCGCTTGAATTGACCTGTCAATTCACTGTGTAAATAAACTATTGTCACCTGTGACGTTTAGTTATTTTCAGCCGACGCTCACTGTAACTTGCAGAAGAGTGCACTTTTTTTTTTAACTCTTGGGACTTGCAGCTGCATCCACTTTCCCCACCTTCTCAACCATGCAGCTGCAAATATTGAGCAAGCATCGGCCAGCTTCCAATGACATGTCTTTGAAGCCCAATTGCAATAATCTTCGCACATCTCCTCTTGACGGCTCATCCGCCAAATTATTGTATGAGCTGACCCTCGCAATCCAACAAGGCGTTCTCACATGTGTCTCAGTTTCCGCAAATATTTGAACCAGCACGTCAACAACCTGGTTTTCAGAGGCTCCTTTGATTCAAGAGAACCTTGTACCTTCATTGTCCACAAAAAGAAAGCGTTTCCTGCCAGAAAAATATTCAGTCCTGCGAAGCAAATGGCCGCATTATTTTGAGCCGCAGGGCCTCGACAATCTCAGATGGATTCAAAGTGAAATGCCACATGATTTTCATGTGATATGACCTATGAGTGCTGAGTTCAATGTTTCGCACTCCTCCTGAGTGCTCTGAACTGTAGATCTGCGCATTCCAACCAATTGACAGCACTCTTTTCTGCTGCCACTTCATTGGAAATTTGTAAAGTTTTGGACGGGAGCTCCAGCAAAAATTGTCACCTTCAGTGGAAAAATTGTTTCCTACTCTTCCATCCAGCGGTCCACGCATGTAAGTACCTACGAGCCATGGTCAACCAATATGAGTCCACCATGCAAGAGGTGCACAAGGCGGCCCGCATCCACACACAAATGAGCAAAGGCACAGCAGGTGCAACCGCAGATTATCGACCACAAGGAGGAGCGCTCCCAATAATCTCTCCAGAATTGACCTCCGAGTTACTGCATTGCCTATCCACGCTGCCTGACCCATGGCCCCTGGCTAAGATCACAATAGATATGGAGAAACCAAGCCAGTGGGTCTCCAAATTGTGCCGACTCTACTTTGCTGACGAATATGCCAGACGAACAGTAGGATTACCCTCGGCAACACACGTCCCAGACATCGAGACAGCACTCCAGGCTGTCCAGAAAATCCTCCCAAAGCTTGAGGCAAGGATGATCGAATTTTTGGCGGAATGGCTAGTAGTAACCTTCCTGATACCCGCAACGCACGTATTGGAAGTGAGGGCACCTCATCTTTCCTTATTTTCCTCAAGGAATACTGGTTTAGAGAACTATACCTCGGCCTAAAAGTCACAGCATCGTTTGACCGATCTGAATCGTACATGCGCGTCATAGATGGCCAAGTTAGATGCATCACCCCAGAAATTAAGCCGCAGAATCTACAAGTCATCTGGAACGTTCAGTTTATTACTGTTTTTGTGCCAGCATGGATGATCCCTCCTGTCTACCACAGCCTGCGCAGGGAAAGCATCAAGAACGCGAGTTCCGCCAGTGCAATAGGTGTCTGTCCGCCCCACCTGGTTCGAAGACCTCGCGGTGCCCAAAGGGCCTACACCTCAAACGAACCGGATCAAGGGCAGCCCCAACCGCTACATGGCCTTAAACTGGTTATTAAAGAAGAGGTGCTACCGATGAAAGACCAATCAGAATTCCCAGCACTAGCATTACTGGCCTCACGTGGCCTACTTGCACCGGATGCATGGAAATGCAAGCGAGCGCAGGTCAGCCTCAAGGCAACAATTGACGTCCCAATGCTAGGTACAATCATCGAACAAAATGGTGATGGGCTTCTGGAAGATTCCCACATGCCAGTGGGATGGCCACTACACATCGATGGTGCCGTTCGGCAATGTTGTATTCATCGATCTGCAACACTCCAGGAACTCGACGACATGTTAAAAGAATACGACATGAAAAGAGACTCAGTAGAAATAAATCACAACGCACCCCAATGGTCTCACAACGCAGTGTGGAACCGGAAATACATGGAACCGAAGCCAGGATACAGTACACACTGCGGCAACTGTGGGCTGAATCCGAGCCGGCCATTGGACAGAAATCTTCCCCTTCTTACGAAGTCAAAGAGGGTGACATTTGCCGTGCAGTAGCCGCTATCGCAGACCTTCCGTCCTCCGCTGCCTGACAGTCCCTTCATCCTCGCATTGGGTACGCCAACAAAATGCCCCACCACAAACTGGCACATTGGCACAAAGAGCCCTAGAGGAATGGGAACGCACCCTGTGCGAAAAGAAGGCAGTTGCGATCCTTGCACAGATGCAAGCCGGCCGACCGGCCCTCATCCAAAAAGATGGCGGCGAAATGCTCATTGCCATTGTCCTTGACAGGCCACTTGCGGACGCCAAGGCATTAGTGGACGACCCTGCAGCTTTCACTCGAGAAATGACCAAGATTCTGCTCGAAATTGAATTTTTGGCGGAATGGTTAGTCACCTTTTTGATACCAGCAACGCACGTATTGGAAGTGAGGGCACCTCATCTTTCGTTTATGTTGCTCAAAGAATACTGGTTTAGAGAACTATACCTCGGCCTAAAAGTCACAGCATCTTTTGACCGCTCAGCATCTTTTGACCGCTCCGAATCATACACGCGAGTCATAGATGGACAAGTGAGATGCATCACGCCTGAAATTAAGCCACAGAACCTGCAGGTCATCTGGAATGTACAGTTTATCACTGTGTTTGTGCCGGCATGGATGATCCCTCCTGTATACCACAGCCTGCGCAGGGAAAGCATCAAGAACGCAAGTTCCGCCAGTGCAATAGGTGTCCAGTCTGTCCGCCCCACCTGGTTTGAAGACATCGCGGTGCCCCCAGTCCCCAAAGAGACCACGCCTCAACCAAACCAAGGTCCACGATGGCAGCAACCCCAACCGCTACACGGTCTTAAGTTAGTCATCAAGGAAGAGGTGCTACCGATGAAAGACCAACCGGAATTCCCAGCACTTGCATTACTGGCCGCCCGTGGCTTACTGGCACCAGATACATGGAAGTGCAAACGTGCGCAGGTTAGCCTCAAGGCAACTATTGATGTCCCTATGCTGGGCACAATCATCGAGCAAAATGGTGATGGACTTCTGGAAGACTCCCACATGCCAGTAGGATGGCCACTGCACATCGACGGTGCCGTCAGACAATGTTGTATTCACCGATCTGCGACCCACCAAGAACTGGATGACATGCTAAAAGAATATGACATGAAACGAGATTCAGTTGAAATTAACCATGACGCACCCCAATGGTCTCATAACGCAGTATGGAACAGAAGGTACATGGAACCGAAGACAGGATACACGCTGCGGCAACTATGGGCTGATTCCGAGCCAGCCATTGGGCAGAAATCTTCCCCTTCGTATGATATCAAATAAGCGGACATTTTACGTGCAGTAGCTGCTATCACAAATCTGCCGTCTTCCACGCTGCCTGACAGCCCCTTCATTCGTGCATTGGGGACACCGACAGCTCACATGGCTCCACCACAAACTGGCACCCTGGCGCAAAGAGCCCTTGAGGAATGGGAACGCACTCTGTGTGAAAACAAGGCGGTGGCGATCCTTGCACAGATGCAAGCCGGCCGACCAGCCCTGATCCAGAAAGACGGCGGCGAAATGCTCATTGCCATTGTCCTTGATAGACCACTGGCGGAAGCGAAAGCACTAGTGGACGACCCTGCAGCTTTCACTCGCGAAATGACCAGGATTCTGCTTGCAAAGCAAAGCCATCCACTCATCGCCCAAATGATGAGACCAGCAGGAAGTGGTGATCCACCCCCCGCAAATAGCACAGCCAGTGGCACCGGCAGTGCGGAAGGCTAACAGGCCTTCGAAACCTACTTGGGTCAGCGTCCAGGACGTCGTCCTTAACTCACTAAGACCGTCCACGCAACCAAGTCAAACACTCCCAGAGCTCAGCCACTTTTACCAAACACACAAGCACAGAAAGATGTCTGCTCATGTCGCTATGGTTCTTGTTGGTGTGTCACGCCTTGACACAAAATGACGCGGAGTCGCCAGTCAGCATCTTTCTGCTAACTTTCACAAAAACGATCAAAAACACATGTCCTCACAAAAAGTCTTTACATCAAGACATGGTTTGTTTGTTGAAATAAGTTTGAGTGTTTGAAAAACGTCGAAACATTTCAAGCACCAAAACATGATTCATGATGTCTCCCTCAGATCTGTTAGCAACTCCAGTTCTGAATGCCTTTCAGAATGTTGCTCTCGCTATCATCATTGAGAGACAAAACAAACTAAACTTCTCCGATCAATGTCAAACAAAGTTCCTTCTTCCGAAGTCACAAAATGAATTCTACGATCTTCTCACGATTCCTTCGTGCACTTCTGCGATGATTCTGTCGACAAAACTAAAGCAAAGTATATGGAAAATGGTTTGATTTTCCATGTCACTATACAAATTCAAATCCTCACGATGTTCTCCGTGCAATCAAAGTACTCAAAGAAGACGAAAAGCATATCGTTGTTGGGTCTCGTCATCTCCAATAAAACGTGCAAAACATGAAACGTGCAAATACGATGTCAACCATCACGGTTGAGCTCATCATCTAGATGAAAACTAAATTCACTTCTTCCAATGCAGAAAATATCCATGGATTCATCTCACCACAGATGTCAGACA